GCCCTCTTCACTCTTGTCAACTCCTTTCTTGCTTCTAGTCTAGTTTCAAGGGTCTCTAGTTTTCTTGTATTTTGGCAATAGCCATTCCAGTTTCTTTCTTAATATACATATTTCTATTTTGTCCTATTTCTTTTTGAGAAAAGTCTCACTTACTCTTTAGCTTTCATCGAGTTCTTGTCCCTGACACCATCTATAAGTAACTGGTATTGGAAGTGAGAGATATCTTACTTTATACTCTCTTTGTGATTAATCTTGTTGATACTATATATTAGTGACTTCAAAATTCTTTTTCTTCAATAATATTAGTATTGAAGTATAAATGATACATACCTTTATTTGTATATATTGTAATTGTTTTGTCTTTAGCTTTGAAGACCATGAAGTTTGTAGAAGCAAACTCATTTACATCCACTTAGAAGATGATTATTCAATCTTTTAACAACCTTACAAGTTTAGTACCTTGGAAAAAGATAGCATCTAGACTTATTGTTAAGAATTATTGACTGTAAGTTTAATTGAGTTTTTTAATGAAAAATATATTTGTGCTATAGTTATGCCTTTAAAGAAAGATATTTTTGGCAATTGGATAAATAAGTAGATGTGTGAAGACTACCATCTAATTAATTATAGAACCAAGTCTAATTAATATCTAATGCCAAAAGAATTATTTGATATAATAAGATTTTCTTAAGTATTCAATACTTTGGATCTAAGGTCTAATTATCACTAGTTATTAGTACTTGTTAAAGAACTAGTGAAGACAATATTTTAGAGAGTTGATTAAAATAACAAAGATCAACTCTATTATTTAAAGTTCTTTCTATTTAGCCTTAAGAATGTATGAATTAAGTTTCAAAGGATGATGGATCATATGTTGTTTCATTTTTCATTTGCTAAATATTACATTGATAATGTTAGAATTTTTAGTAGCAACTCACAAAATCATGTGAGGCATTTATGAGTAGTATTTGAGCAATTATTGCAATGGAAATTACATTTACATCATGGCGAGTATAAATTCTTCTACAAATGGTTATCATACATGGATCATATGATTATTCCAAGAGCTCTTGGAGTGCAGCAAGTATAGATAGATGCCTTACAAAAAACCTTTGTATCAAGAAATATTTCATATCTTTGAATTTTTTTGCATTGATAAATTACTACCAAAGATTTGTAAAGAACTTAAGCTTAATTGCCAAGTCTTTGACTATTCTCATAGATAAGAATTAGCTATAGACTTGGAATTTTGAGCATCAACATTCATTTGATATGTTAAAGTAAAAGTTAGATTTAGCTCCAATACTTTGACATTTGCATGCTATTAAATCTTTCTAACTATACATGGATTAGAGTACAATATGACTAAAAGTAGTCTTAATATAAAAAGATGATGTAAGATGTAAATATATCTTTATATATATATATTTTTAAGAAGCAACAATATAGAATCCAATTACTCATCTTATAATCTTCAAAATTGTATTCTTGAAGATTGATGGAAAAAATTGTATTCTTAAAGATTATTAAGTATACATTATTAATCTGAATATTAAGAGATTTTTTTATAATCCAAATCTTTTGAAAGAAGGCTTAATTGGAGCTCAATAATATAGAGATTGTAATAGAAAAGCAATTCATGGATAACATGCAACGACATACTTGACTTTAATTTCAAATTCTACAATTAAGGTTTTTGATAAAAGTTTAAATGAGGAATTGGATAAGAACTAAGTGATTAGCAATGTATTAGAAGATCTTACAATCTTGTAGAAGCTTCAATAAAAAATATTTTCTTTAACTATTTCTATCATAGCAAGAAATATAATTAACTATTAAATAATAAGATTTTATTAGAAGAATAATTTTTTATTTCATGTATAGCTTGCATGAGCGAGGTGTATAGTTCCAAGACTAGATCCAAGAATTTCTTTGATACAACAAGCATATAAAGAGCTTGGATATTTTTAAATACGTAAGAAACATTCTATATATTGCAATTAATATTAGTGGAATGATATACATCAATAAGTGGTCACATATGTCTTTCAGTGTGAAGTTTGTGATTAGACCAAATCAAACTTTAACACCTTATTATCTTAGTTGAAGCCTTTATTTATCAAAAGCTGGATTATTATTGATCTTTAGACTTTGCTAGGCTACTTGTTCTTACTTCATATGGAGCTAAATATGTATTGGTGATGGTAGAGCATTTTAGTAAGTAGATTGAACTTAAAGCTTAACCACAAAACTCTTCAAAATTGGCAACTATGGCTTTTCTTAATCATGTATTGGCATGTTTTGAAGCATCTACTAAAGTCTTAATGGATAAGAAAAAAAGTTTCTTAAAGTATTTGAAGCTTTATATGCGAAGGCATTGATAGATTATTGTATTACTTCTAGAAATCATTCTAAGATATATGGCATGATTAAATGGATTATTTAGACTATCAAGCATGGTTTATAGAATTATAGATTATTTTATGGCTATCATTGTGATTGAAGCTTAATGTTGCCTTAGATTATAATGGATTGCAACTTTAATCGGTAGGCATCTTTGGTATCTTATAGTCCTTATCAATTGTTGTATGGACAAGAACCAATCCTACTAAATTTAGTATGTGAGAAGATAGCTTCAATTGTGGACTTAGATGATTCTAGTATTTGGACTCAATGTCTATATAATTGAGCAAAGTTCTTTAAGAAGGTCATATCTATAATAATTGAAAACTTATCTATTATTCAACATTAAAATACCTTATGATATACTTGGATTCATAGTAGAGCTTATCAACTTCAATTATGGGGATTTTCTAAAAAAGATAATGTGTATTTGCAATGTGAGGTGCCTACAACATTTAATATTAAGGTAGGACATATAATTCTATATGTAAAGGATGTATTATCCAATAGTATTTTGTTGCTTGAAGGCAAAGATGGACATGAGTATTAGAAGCATTTGAAAAGTTTTGTTCCTTGTCATCTTCTTATTGATGCTTTTGTATATTCTAAATATATAATTGTGTCAATTATTCTTTCTTTTTTTGTATATGATGAAAAGAAAGAAGTTGCTACTTTGATTTTGTGTGATCAATATCAATATAGGTAGCATATAGCATGTTTGATGCCACATTTTTTAACTCTTTTTTTAGGAGATTGGATTTGTCCTTATTATAAGTAGTCTTTCAACCATGCCTCATCTATTAATAAATATTAAAGATTTTTTCTTTCACATTTGTTACACGTTTTGGTAGTCTAGCTCCAATAACTTTGTTTTAGATGAGTATAATTTTGTAGCAACATTATTGTAGCATTTATCTTTAATAATATTTATTTTATAGTCTTAGCTTAGTAGAGGGATTTATAATCAACTAAAAAAGAGGAAGAGGAGAGTAAGGGGACACTTGAGAGTGTATTGATTGTGTATTTGTATTTTGTTTAAATTATATATATTGTAATTGGTTTGTAGCACTTGATGTGTTGTATGTAACGATCTTTGTTTACATGACATCTTATTATAAATAACATAATCTTTCAATTTATTTATTTTAATATATAAATACATTGATAAGTCCATATTAATTTTTTTTAATAAATAAATTTTATATTATATTATATTATTTTAATTTCTATAAAAAAAATCTCAATTTATAAAATAATTGTAATATATTCTAATTAATATAAACATTGTACATCACATATAAGAAGAAAAGATCGAACTTTCTTTAAACATCTCAAGACTTCTTATTTCTTATAAAATATGGATTTGTTACAAGTCTTGGTATTTATACTTTTTTTAGATAGAAACTTTATTTATATTTTTTTATGAATTATGCATATTATATAGATTCATAATATTTCACTATATATATATATATATATATATATATATACATAATTTAGTATTATAGAAAAAAATTATCTAATTTTAAAGATTAAGAATTTTATAATCTCTTACCATAAAAATAAATAAGAGATTATTCAAAAGATTCTACAATGTAGTTATTTGAAATACATTGCCAAAAGCATTCAAAGTTCAAACTTGTTAGATGATTGACTTAAGAATTTTTTTTGTAAGATTTTAATGTCTCATATGAAATTTTTTGTTCAAGTATTTCTCTCCTAAAACCTACAATTAATTAATAGTTAGACTTATGTTAAATTAACTCTGGAAAAGATTTTTTGTTCTAACATTTTGATATAGATTCTAACAGTTTTTCTATTTCAAAGTTATATTAAACAAGTTCAAATAGGACTCTGAAAAGAATTCTAAAATATTTTAAGACACTTTGCTATATTGTGATTTTCATATATATATATATATAGATGAACCAGATAAGGCACAATGAAAATTAGACATTTCAAAAATAACAGTTAAACAGTTATGTTATTACATATATAATTCTAAAGTAAAACTTCTACTTGAATTAATCAGGCTTGTGACAGGATGGTGTTTACAATTGTTCTTAAACGTGAGTAATTTTATGGCCTGTAGCTAAAATGTATATATTTGCTCAGCATGTGTAACTTGGTACTAAATAATTTTTGTTGAACTATATATAAAAGTTTGATAGTTGCTGCTACATTTTGTCTATTTACTACAACTCTCCAACATTGTAAGTATATTTGTTTAAAGACGAAATCATTTTGGTTTCATTTCCTTTTCTTTAAATTCTATCCCATCATTTGTGCTCAGAATAGTTCATTCCCTCCACCTGTCAACTCCAGGGGATGGAGTTTTAGGGATCATGTAATCCACAGTTGTGCTTTGGCCCAACTCACAAGAACAGCGCACACAACTCCGTCACAAATATTAAAGAGAGAAAGCCGACGCGGATAACTCTCATCCAATGCAGCCATCTTCAAAGCTTCATCCGTGCCGCTGCCTAATCCACACAAAACGGAATGGATGGAACGCCGTCCAACATATGTAGAAGCATCTCAGCCCTGCGTTGCGGTACATCGCGGGGGAACGGGTGGAAGCTTGGCTTGGAAAAGAAGTCCCAAGTGGATAATGTACTTTCTGTGGAAGGCCCTCGTCTCTTCCGAGCCATAGATCTGCTTACTGACCCGTCAAAGCGTCGCAACAGCAGCATCAATTCGGTCGTTGTTTGGGTTCACAACTGGTGGCACCGCTGTTTGCGAGGCAGAGTAGCTCGGTGACTGCCCTCCGTTCTTGTTCGAGCCTCAATTCTCAGGAAGGAGGGGAGAGATGGCAGCTATGGCACAAGCCTCCATTGTGAATGCTCCCGCGACCTTGGGCGCCGCGAGCTCCGTCTCGAGGACGGGAGATTTCCAGTCTGCTGCTAGGGTGCACTTCGGTGGAATTGCCGCCAAGGTTCCGGGCGTGCTATCTAGGCGGAGGTTGGTCGCTGTGCGCGCTGCTGTGGCGGATGTGGAGAAGTTGGACAGGCTTGTATCTGAAGTTGAGCAGTTGACCTTGGAAGAGGCTAGGGTTTTCACCGAAAAGCTCCAGGAGAGGCTCGGCGTGTCTGCTTCTTCTTTCGCATCTCCGGCAGGAACCGCTGCCGGGGTGCCTGCTGAGGCTGCTCCTGCCGTGGAGGAGAAGACAGAATTTGATTTGGTTCTTGACGAGGTCCCGTCCTCGGCTAGAATTGCCGTTATCAAGGCCGTGCGTACTTTGACTGCTCTGGGGTTGAAGGAAGCGAAGGACATGATTGAGGGCTTGCCTAAGAAGGTGAAGGAAGGAGTGAGCAAGGAGGATGCGGAAGAGGCGCAGAAGGCATTGGAAGCTGCCGGAGCCAAGTGCAGCATCAAGTAAAGCGTCGGTAATGCAAGGGTAGGGACCCAAACCCCCGCCAGGAACTTTTCCTAACTCTCTGGTATTCAAAACCTTATAATTTTCGTGCCGTGTGAGGGTTCTGGAATAAAACCTGGTCTCGGGCCTTTAGCGTATAGGAAGTGTCGGTTAGGTATAGTAGAAAATCACTTGTCGACGCTACATTATTATTTTTTCGTAATGCAGAATCATGACGCCCTCAGAAGAGTTTTTGCCCCATTTGCCTTAAGCATGCATGCATTCCTGTCCGGCATGTTGACAGCTTTTTAGCCTCATAGTCTGTTTGTCGCGTTAAATTTGAATACGATTGAGTCTGCTCCGAATTGATTTTACCTGTTATTGCATGTCGACGACTACATTATCGATCATACGCCTTCCCTTGCATTGAACAGTGGCAATGTATGCATATTCATTAACTCGCTTTCTGGAAGAACGTGTTGTTCAGTACGAGACTGGACAACCTGAATACCTGACTGGAAAAGTCACTGCAGATTCAAAGTTTGTATTCTCTAACTGTATCGCATCGCAAACTCGACTTTTAAATCTGCACGTGTACCCTGCGCCATCGCCCGTCGCGGGCAGTTCTCAAGACCTAGTTCAGCCTGATTAGTGTATGACATGGAACAAATACATGTAGAGTTTTTGCATTGAGTGCAGCTGTACTCTCACTGCGGTCCATTTTTTCCTGTTAAAGAAGATTTTGTCTGAGGTTTTTGACCAGGGCAAGAAGTCTCTTCACTTGCAAGATTTACAAAAATTGTTTATTTGAATGATGAAATCTCCAAACGTCGAAGGAGTTCACACTGATACTGTGAAATTTGTGCGACGTTCAAGGCAGACTGACAGGAGTACTACAATTCTACGCAACAGTTGTCACAATCTTATACATATCTGTCTACAGTGGTCCGGATAGTTGCCATTACTTAGTATCAAAATTCTCGACAAGTTCAGAAATTACTAAAAGTGGAACAATATTCATTTTTAACGTAGGGAAAATGCTGCAGAGTGCACCTTCGTGATCCTTCTTTTGTGGTCAGAAGAATGTAAATCTCTTACGCGGCGAAGGTCATTTTTTTCTGGCAGTAGTGTGAAATAGCGCGTTCTGTTACCTACACCAGGAAAATAGTATGCACTTCAGGGGGGCTTGCTCCCTGTTCTCTCAAGACACTGTCTCTTGTTGCACCAGTTCGACACAGTTGTTCATTAATGTTGCACATTAAGATTTCATACTTTCGTAGCATGTCTGGGAAGATGAAAATAACAAAACCCGCAGGAGGAGATTGGTATGAAGCCCAAACTTAGACCAGGAGAACTATTATCGCAAGGCACTACAAATGCAGTTCAGTACCAGGATGCAGACCATAATCTCGCACAGGAAGATCCCCATTATGCTCTGGGTTGTCGTTAAGGTAACTTTCTTTGAATGACTTTCAGCTTGATTGTAATCCTAAACTCCAGTGGATAACATCTAGGTCGCCACTGGGTCGTTTGCCTCTACTGTGTTCAGAATACTTCTGTAGAGGAGCAATCTCGGTATCAAATATTGCTCTCTTCAAAGACGTGCACACAAATTGGTAAGCAGGAGTTCCTGCCAGCAATGACCTTAACATGATTTGAGACTACGTGAAGCTTGGGTATGTAGCTTCAAAAGAGAAGTAAAAACGAGATAAAATAAAATAAAACAGCAGAACTTCAGATGTACAGGTCCAGCTCCGTGAAATTCGAGACAATACTTTCCTTACATATCAATTCAAAGAATATCAGCGGGGACCTGCATGTTGAAACTGTTATTTAAAATTTGGAGCTCAACTCTCACTACTAACTTTGTCAACTAGGGGGAAATTATTATTTTTTAATTTTTGAGTAGAGCAATCCTTCAGTACTTTAGTCTTGATCACATGGGAACCAAAATTCTTAGTTGCCAGGAGACTCATGAGTAGCATGTCGGAAATTTAATCAGCGCTCTAAATGATTATATGCATTAATGTTCGACTTATTTCTCAGATTTCAAAGAGCAGAATTGTGACTTGCCTGCGAATTAGTTTCTACCCAGTTTAATGCTTCATGACAGTCTCTACTGAAGGACACCAACACGGATTGCAAATTTGAAGTGGTTTGATGACATTTCTGTCTCTAGAAAAACTTCTCAGGAACTTGAGAGAGTGCATCTGTCTGGATCTCCATCTGATGGCAGACTCTGGGGGGGAAGAGAAATCGAAGGCGGAGAGACGCTGCTCCACGGTCGTCTATTTTGGAACAAGAGTATGAGATGTTATGTAATGACTGTACACATGAAAGTCCTAAAGTGTGCTAGCTTAAAGGGGCGCCAAACCGACTTGAATTCTAGAGATCAAGCTAGCATTCTAAGTCTTGGAAGGATCATGCGATACAGTTGCTAACTAGAAAATACCTAACTGCAATTCGTGAATACACAGGGTCTGAAGCTCCGAAGTTAACAAGTGAAACTGTCAAAGGTGGTTCAGTTGTCGGCGTTGCCTGCACAGGGCAACGCCGCAGAAAGTCGTGAATGGTACACTTGAATTTTCCGATGACATCTTCAGAATCTATGAGAAGTTATCCCGTCACGGCAGCAATCACACAGAGCACTGCATCAAATCACCCGATAATGTTGAATGAATCGCACCCATCCACCCTCTATTCCAAAACATTCGGCACCGTGGACTGAAAAGTTGCTGTTCACATTGTGACATAGGATGACACCGAGTGTACCAAGATTAGCAACTCAATTGTTACCCTAACCCTAATTTAAAACTTCTGAGCTTTTGATTAGCAGCAGTTAAGCTGTACTTAAGCTAGGACGATCCATGTGCTAATTACGATTTAGAAATTGAATGTATTTTGTGACATGATTGTTCAATGTTGAGAGCACCTTTACTTTAACATAGTATCAGAGCGATAGATGATCATTCCCTTTGTTTAGAGAACATCCGGTGAGTAATATTCCCAGAAGAGTAAATCTGGTCAGTAATACTCCCGATGCAAGACGGTGTTTTAGAAAGAACATCTCTGGTTCATCGATTGTGAGAATTTAGAGTGGCAGGAAAAAGTCAGAATGCATATTTACGAGAGAGGAACAAACTTGAAGGTGCAAATTACAACACGTGGAAACTGAAGATGAAGATCTTGCTGAGGTGCTAGAACATGAGGGAGATAGTCAAAACCAAAATCCTACCTACAACATTTCTAGTTCAGATTGGAGGTATAATATATCAAAGTTTAGTTTTGCCAACTAAAGAACAAAACAATAAAATATTGATATTGTCAATTTACAATGATCTTAAAGATACTACAATTGAACATAATAATCCAACCAATACTTGGGTTGCACTATAAAATAAATTCCATTCAGGTGATATCTTCCAAGTTTTGTTATTATCTACCAAATTGTAGAGCATAAGATTAGGAGAGGGAGGATTTGTAGAAGGATACTTAAGAATACTCATAACATCAAGAATCGTCTAATTGCTCTTGTACAAAAAGTTGTTACTTTGATATTAGTTCAACTAATCTTCAATGGATTACCTTAAAGCTTTGAAGGAATAATCTAATCAATATCAGTAGCTAATACATTGCCAAAATTCACATGTATATCTTCCAAACTCTTTACGAAAGCACATAGAATGGACCTTAGAAACAAGCAACTTGGTGATAAAGAAGCACTTTTAATTCAATTCAAGCAATTCAATATTAAAGAAGATGATAAAAAAAACAATTGAGAAAGGTCTTGCATGAATCAATGTAATTACAAGGTACTTCTTGAAGACAAGGAAGAAGATGAAGGATTGCCAACAAAATAGAAGGCTTTTGAAGATGCTATTGGATTCTTTGCCAAAAATAAAAAAAGAGAAAACCACTTATGTTGTATTATGTGTTGTCTTGTTTGAGAATATACTAGGTACCTAGCTGTAGAAGGTAAGGTTGTGTTTTAAAAGTATCCAAAAAACCTTAATAAGTTTCACATATATGAAAAGAATATCATTCGAATTTCAATTCAAAAGTTCTAAAAATCACTCTTTTTAATAGCCTCAATCATACATAAATCCCAATTACCTTGCTACTTTCATATTTAAGTAATTTAGATTTTTCTTATAAGCCCTAACTCTAATCAATGAGCTTTGGCAAGCCGTAACTTCTAATTTGAGTATCTACTTGATGTGAAATTTTGCATGCAATTGGAAATGCAAGTCTTTTATACGCTCAAGAAATTTTAGTCCAATCCAACTTACAAATTGTGAGAAAACCTCCAAAAATTGTATTGATATTACTTGGCTACCAACTTGAAAGGTGATGTAGAAGTTCCAGCAATGATTTTTCCTTCTCCAACTATTAACTTCTATTCAAAATTGGTATTTAGCTTGATCTTCAAGTCTTCCAAAACCATAAAAATTTTTACCTTGATCCGACTAGTAGATCTTTAGTATCATAGAAACCCTATCCAATCTCAAATTGCCAAGTTTAGGTATGTTCTTGTATCAAAAGACTTGCATTAAATTAGATTATCGTATGCTGAAACTTTTTCCTATTTGTAAACAACTCAATCCTATTGCCTATCAATTACATCTAGCGGGATCTATGAAGATCCACCTTGTATTTCACATGTCTCTTCTAGAGCTGTATAAGACAATGAATATCTTGAGAAGAAGATAAATGCCACCTCTTCTTATAGAAGTGGATAATAACCAAGAATTTGAGGTAGAAAAAGTCTTAGAATCAAGATGGCATCAATATAGGTTGAAATATCTTGTTCATTGGCACAAATATGATACTAATGAATACACATGGGAGCCATCAAAGAATCTTACAAATGCAGTAAAGAAAGTTGAAGACTTTCATCAACGACATCCATCAAAACCAAGATGAAGAATAGCAAACCTTTGCTATAAAAGAAACAAGACCAAAGGAAAATAACATTCTACCTTCTATCTTTTATTGTAGCTTCTCTGTATTTGTGATGAGATGGAGCACCAACAATCAGCAGATTCAACTCAAGAACTCTCATTTGCGGACTTACTAGACGAGACATTGTGATTGTCACAACCTTCAAGACGATGAAATCGAGATGAAGATCCTGAAGAACGACATGTCCTTCCTTGGATAGATGGCGAAATACAACGTGTTTGGTATCACGACCTTGGAAGAGACTCCCGATATTTAGTGAATTTGCTTCACAAATGATGAATCAACAATCAATGTTGATTTTATAGCTCGAAGATGAAAATGCTCGGGCTTCAAGAGAATTGATCTTTGTTGATCAAAAGATGCATCTCCTTCTTTTGGTGTTAAATAAGAACATCTAGAAAGAGCGTCCGAT